TATTTTCCCACCACCTCCTTCCTCTTCGTGCCTTTCGGAGCTTGGCTTAGTATTTTTAATTGGCTGGCGCTTGGAAGCTAAAAGCTGTAATGAATTGTTGATAGATTGGAAAGCACAGAGTTGCTTCGCTAGAAATGTATGTAGGGGGGGAGGGAAGGAGGGGGGATGGGCGAGTTAGTAACAACCAACCATCTGAAAGGAGCGATTTTGTTACAGTTCAAGCTTTTCACATCACGTGAGGATCAAGGGCTCAATTGGTTGTCGTGAGAACAAAAAATGGGTGACAACCGTATCAAGAAAATACTGATCTGGTCTTTAAAAGAAAAAAAAATTAAGGTCTATTTTCTCTCTTCCTTCTCTTCTCTCCACCCCTCCCTCCCCGTCTGGTGTTGGCACAGCTACAAGTTATGAATCTGAAACACTACTCCCCGAGAACTAGCTCCTCGGGAGTTAGGAATGAGTGAAATGCACGATTGCAAAGCATCTACTGCAGAGAGGAGCACCTTATAAACCTTTCCTCGAGTTCTGTGCAATTTGTGATCCTTAACATGGCATGGATCCTTTACAGGCGATTTTTTTTAGAAAAGCCTCCTCCTAGCCAGCACAACAAAACACCGCATGGCGTTCAAATTAATCTTTTATTTGGCCATGGCAGTTTGAGATTGTTGAGTTTTTCTACACTGAGCTGCGATCGGGGTGGGGGAGAGACTGTGCGTGGTTATGAAAAATGCTCATTGCACCAAAAACGCACGGACGTCCTCCTGCACCAGTTTCACCATAACATTATTTACATGTGACAGAAGACAAAATCTTATTCTAGTTTTATTTAGTAAGTGATCATTGTCGAGGTTCTGGAGAAATGGCAAGGCAATATGCAGACGGGATTATAATTATGTCAGTTTTATCTGCCCCACTTGATCAGTTAAAACCCCAACACGCAATATGCTTTAACGCGCCCCTTCCCTCCCTGCCCCCCCCCCTCAAGTGCACGTTAAGGATGATTTGTGTGAGAAACTGCAACGCTGTTGCCCTCTCCTAAATATCCCTCACCTTGATCGTGGATTTTATTTTAAAACCCGAATAACCAGTTTCTTTTTCCGATGCACAAATCTGTTAACACTCACTCCCCTTCGTGCATATATATATATATATCCCGTCTAAAGTGCTAGAGATACGCAACCGTACTTACGATCTGCATTGAATCGAGTTGACCTTTTCCTTCTACAACTGCATTGAGTGTGTTTTTGTCGCAGCCGATTTTTATTTTGGGGGGGGGGAATCTAATTTCTTCAACAGATTTAGGGGGGGTTGAAGAAAAGAGCACCAGGTTTCATTAACTGTCCTTATTTTGAAATAAAATGTTTGTTTAAAAAAAGTAAAAATTCCTGTAGAACACACACAGAATCTCACACACAACACACTATACAACCAGCTGCCTTTACTGCAACAGTAAGCAGCGCAAATCAGGACTGGAAAGAACGGAGAGCGTGAAGCAAGCAAAGACTCTGTACCTGAAAGGGACTTTTCTTTGTTCCCAATGCCCTTTCCCATCTACCCAATCAGAGGCCAGCTTTTATGAAACTGGGCTCTCTGATTGGATAGTTGCTCTTCTTAGCTGCCGGTGGGGGTGAGAGGGAGAAATGCACACACACATAGAAAGCCTTGTATTTTGCAATCTCCAGACTACGTTGTGTGCTCCAATAGGCAGACTCCTGCTACAGCAAGATACAAATCACGTTTCCCATTTCAATTACCGCATTAGCTTATACATTTTATTTAAATTAAAGGAACGGGGAGGAGGGGAGAAGCACCGCCGCACCATATCTGCTCCTTAGCCATCCCTCTTTCGATTTCGGTACTTTTTGCGAAACCACAAGTAATGGCTTCCCTATGTGTTTTTCCAAGGAGCAATTGAAAATCTCATTTATCTTTTCTCTAAATGGCCCCTCGCTGAAAATCTGTAACAACTTGACGCTGTCTGTTGATCCTTTTAATACAGATGTGAGAGCGCTTGTTCTACTGTTGGGCGAAAAAAACCAAACTGGTTCCCTTCCCCCACATACTCGGCATTGCAGGGGTACTTTATGTAGGGCGGCGTGATCTCGTTTCTTTCTCTGCCTTCTCCGTTTGTCCTTCCCATATTTTATATTCTGCTCCTTTTTTTACAATATATCTTAAGTAGGCCGGTTCGATTTTATTTTTTTATTATTAAGGAAAGGAGTAACCCTTTTGTCTCCAGCTTGCTGGCTTACTGCTGCAGGCACTGAACTGGAATAGCAAGAAAACCACTTAACGACCATGTGAACACATCAGTGAGAATACAATTATTTTCATCTCCCTCGTCCTTCCAGTTAACCTCCTCCTAGTGAGGCAGCTCGTCAAGAATTGCATTTAGCGCTGGATTTAGATTCAAGACTGCATTAAAATAGCAAGTACATTCCAGTGTCAGAAAACTCAGAAGTCTTGCTTCGTACAACCTCGTTTTGCAAATGCAGCCCTTCCCCCACCCTTCCAACATGGAATATCCTCTTTTACTTCAGACAGTCCAATCTACCAGGCTTCAAAGAGCATGTAATAATAATAAAAATATCCGATTACTGGGGGATGGTTGTGTGTGTATTCATTATCAAGGGCATGCTAATGAAACCTAATCACTGTTAAATCGGACATCATATGTGTCCTTTATACCTCAGTTCAAAGATTTTATGTTTATGGTTATAATATATGACTATTTAGTTTTTTTAAAAGCAGATAATATGCAGTTTTTATTGAAAACTCAAACCATGAAATTTCTAGTATGCCCTACAAAATGATAATAGATAGCATTCAGCTGAGAAAATACATGCATTAGTGTTGTTATCAGGACACCATAAGGGCATTTTACCTAAAATGTGTGGATGAGTAAGCAATATATGAACCTCATTTCAAGAACTTACGCTTAAAATAAAACATTTGCCTGACAGAAGATTAATGTTGACTAAGACTACACTGCTGATCATTACATGCTCACAAATCCTATTGACTTAAAAAAGGCTTACAAGTGTGCATGTGAATGCAATGTACTTTACCCAGACT